ATTGTGAGTGGGCATACACTGAAGCATTTATGTGCTGCAATGGTTCCTCTCTTCTTGACTCTAATGCTTGCAAAGAGGGAGGTAATTCAAACAGAGAGCCAGAGGTACTACTACATTTTCTGCTCTAGGAAATGTATTGTGTAGGGTTTCCTGGGCTTGTTCAGTTATGTCGTGCTCTTAAAATAGAGTTAATACCCTATTTTGTCCATCGACTATACACTTATACTTGGTTTCGTCCCCTCCTTTTTATTCAACCCAATAGTCTCCTCGACTATGAAATGTGGATTGTATTTTGTCGTCTGCATATTTGGATCGGAATAAGAAAAATAAATTTGTTGGCTCACTAAAGCTAGACCTAATTTCAGACTCAATTCGGTCATCAATGTACTAAAATGCACTCTTAATTAGATAAAAATACAATTCAGTAAGAAGAGAGTTAAGGATCAAATTGAGTAAGATTGTATGGTCGACAGACCAGCGAGTATTAACTCTTATATATGCTATACTTGCGTTCCAAAAAGAAATTCACATTTCTACAGCTCGTCTGGTTTGTTAGAGTTTGATGATTGGTTTTGCTGAAATAATGGCTCAAAGTGTGACTGGAACGACATAATGGGGTCTAGCATATATTAAAAAAATACGGAGCAATTTTTATATTAATTTAATGAATTAGTATGTAGAAGGTGAAGTTAGGAAGGTCATGTATCCTTATACGGCACCATTTTTAGTTGAGATTATCACAAGTTTCATTTAGTGATGGCAAATAAATACATGATCAGTTTTGATAGAAAATCGGGATACCCAAAAAATGAGCATGACTTGGACGGAGTAATGTTTGATTGTTGTTGCATATGCAGGAGAAGTTTTGTGCAGATATGGAAAATATCACGGAATAAACTGAAGCTGAAAGGGAATGGTACGGAATTAGAGAGTTCCGAATGCAGCTATACAAATATTCCTGTAGAAGACTGAGTGGGGAGCATCCACCTTCATGGCCAGTGACAGATACTTCTCACCCACAAAAAACACTGTCTATATACTTGCTAACACGCCTTTTGTGGGCATATTGCGAAATTTTGTTACAAAACAGAAATGGATGATAATTGTAATATGGTTGGTTGATAAAATGGAGTTCACAATCAGTTCCCTTGGTATGGAAGCACGTAGCATAGTCGTCGTCATTAACTAAACGGCTAAACCAGAGTATCCGTTTGGCATACTTCCAGTTCTGTCCACTGGTTACTCAATATTTTTTTCATACAAAATGTGCAGTGGAGTATAATCAATCCATAGACATTTAAGTTAGATGATGTTTGATGATCATAACACCGTTGTTTATTCAAAAATGAGCCCATCAATCTTTTAAGTCATTTCTTTTTTGTTGATTTAAGGCATTCAGCATTCTAATATTCTATTGTAATCAATCTCACACTCAACAAATACCCATCATAAGTGATACTATAACGCTCAATGAGTCTTTTTAGCAAGTCTCAACTCCCTTTATTTTAATTATTTTCTCAATCCTTTTGGAAGAAGAGGCATAGATATTTGGAAAACAAGAGCGGTCAAACACGTGCACAAAGAAATAGTTAGGAGATTTTTTAAAAAGATTTTCAAACGGAGAGAAGCCACAAAGTAGAGGAGATGAGTCATTGACCCAGGCCGGGCCTAGGCCCGGTCGGGCCTCGGGTATTTTGAAGGAGGCTTGGGACTGGCCCGTGCTATGGCCGGTGCCGGTTCGGGCCGGGCCACCCGCCCGGGTCACGGGTCGGGCCACCCGCCGGGCCGGGCCGGGTCATGTTTAATTTTTTTTTTTGAATTATAGTTTATACAAATTCTTGTTAAAAACAAAGTTCAAGTGCATTTATTTGAAATAGGAACTACATTTGAGAATTGAGAAAAAAATTACAATATGAAATACATTTTCTAATAAGTAACAATCGGAATTTCCGTCACCGTTGCTTGTTGTTTTCCCTTTGTCACAGGACTTCATATGTTTTATGGGCATCCTGTATCCGTGTGAACGTCCCAAGCTACACTCTTTCTTGCACCACTTGCAAGTTGCCCACCACAGCCCGGTCTTCGGGTCCTTCCACATATCAAAATTGTTTTGCATAAGGGAAGATTTACTTTCCATCTTTAAAATGGAAGATGTATAAGTAGGAATGTAGGATAATAAGAGAAGATGAAGATGGAGAAGAGTTGGAGAAGAGGTGTAGAAAAATGTTAGAAAATAGATGTATTTGTAGAAATTTTTGAACCCCACACCACCACCCCCGGGACCCCCCCTGCCCCCCCCCCACCCACCCAAAGCCCCAACGGCTATATAGCCGTTTGGGAGCTTTTTTGTTTTTAAATTTTTTTAAATATTTTTTATTTGAAAATTATACATATTGTAAAATAAGTTAATTAATTTAATGAATTAAGTAAAACTATTTTTACTTAGAAAAGTGGTTTATTTATAATTTACAAATGTTATAAAATAGGTGTATTTAAACAAATTACATATTGTAAAGCTATTTTTAATTTATAAACAGCCTTTAGAAAATTAATTGTAAGTTTGTAACCGATTAATTAATTTGAGAAGTGCTACATATGAAGTACAAGTTTACAAATTACAATTGAGAATTGAGGGAAAGATTAAAACATCAAAATACATTTTATAATAAATTCTAAAATACGTAGTACTAATCAATCGGAATCTCCGGCATAGGTAGAGCCACCATCGGTTGTTGAGTCATCCATAAAGTCTTGGGAGGGAGTGATGCTCATTTCTTAAGTTCTACGTGCGGCCTTCAACCCATCGTGGTAGCATATAAGCGTCTCAAGAGAGTTTGCGCTCAATCTCGTTCTAGATGCCGTTAGGACGTTGTCTGCCGAACTAAATTCTTGTTCCACTGCAACTGTTGAAACGGGCATTGATAGCACTTGCTTAGCCATCCTTGCTAAAATTGGGAACGTTCTTTCATTTGACTTCCACCACTTTAGAACGTCAAAGTCATCATATTATTCAAATTCAACTTCATATGTTAAATACAAAGTAATCTCATTTATTGTGTTTTGTTCAGTAGCGAGAGTTGTTTTAGTTTTTTCATAAGATTGCCAAATGCAGATTTAAAAATTGATTTTCCTTTAGATGAAGATGTACGTGTCAGGGGAGGGGGCGTGTTGCCATATTGTACATGAAACTCATTAAATAAGGCATAAAATAAAGCACTGACCTCATTGTATTCCGTTTTCGGATCTACGGGGTTATCGTCATACATTGGAAATTCACCAAAAAAAAGAAAGATAATAGAAGTTGAAACAATCTTCCAAATTAGCTAGTCTAAAACGAGGATCTAGAATAAATGCAATACCATAAATACGCGGAATATGTGCATAATATTTTAAAAACTTTTCCTTCATAAATAAGCGGAATATGTGCCTAATTTTGCATACTCCACGGGGTGCTTTGCCTTAAGATGCCTTGCGGCGGATCCGTATCCGCCGGAGGTCCCCAAGCTATAATTTTTGTTGCACCACTTGCAAGTTGCGTGCCAAAACCCGGTTTGTGCGTCCTTCCACTTATCAAAATTGTTTTGCATTAGTTCAGATTTACTTTTTTTCTTACCGGGTTGGGATGAGGTGGGCTCGTCCGCCTCGTCGTGGTTGCCGTCACCATCGCCCGTCTCCAGTTCAAGTTCATCCGCATCGTCATCCTCGAGCTCATCTTCGTCAATGGTCATCGGGATTTGTTCTTGTTGGAGAAAGCGGTTATTATGTCAGGCCAACTCTTGTTGTAGTTGTTCTTCAGACATTGCATTTCCATCCCTCCTTTGGTAACCCGTTTCAAAATCATCTCGGCTTTGAGATCAAGAGCCGGCAAGTTCTGTACCTTTGCGGGATTTCTTCCTCCCAATCGCGTTCCTTCGGTTGCGCTCGAGGTTACTCATATCAACCGAATATCTACCACCTTCCATCTTAAAAATGTAACAAATATTAATTTGCAACAAATATAATAATGAATACAAAAGTAATGCAACTAATTAAAACTATTTTAATTAATACTTCAAACTAATTTCTTGGAGATGTGGCCAAATTCCCTATCATTTAATTTCTTGAGAGGCCCTTTTAACATTTTTTAACTTTCTAACAAATGTGTAGTGGGCCGTGCCAGCAACTTCTTGATGCCAAACCTGCGCAATTATGTTAGAAAAAAATTTATGTTTAATCCTTAGTTGAAGAATTTAAATGGCTTGGGTTTCGGCGTAGAGTTGTGAAGTAGTGATATAACGGATGCCGAATGATCAAACTCCACTTCAATTTCATGGAAATGTGCCTTACACCCAAAGCCACTTTGTCCCCAAACGTCATTAATCAAAACTCGGTCTAGCTTAGCCCAAAGAGTACCCATATTCCACGTGTAGAAAACACCCGTAGAAGGGGCATCTTGTAGGCTTGCCGAGAGCATGAAATCAAACAAATGTTGCATCATGTACGCCGTCGGGGGGGTGGGACCCACCCTTTCGTTTGGCGTACACACACAATTAAAATCACCACTAATTAGCCACGGGTGTTTTACGGAAATCCCCAACTCCGTTAGGTGTTCCCATAGCTCTTTCCGTTCAAGCACAGTGTATAAAGGATAGACAAAAGTGGCAATAAAAACATTCTGGGTAACCCGACAGGTGCATTTGAGATGCATGTGTTGTTTTCCAATTTCTAAAAAAACACAGTTCACAAAATTGGGGTCCCACATGATGGCCCACCATTTAAAAGGTCAAAATTAGTTTCATGCACCCAACCCGGCCATACATTAGAAACATAATTTTTAAAACCATCCGTAGACATTTTAGTTTCAAGAAAGCAACACAAATTTATTTGGTTAATTCGAATAAAACTATTAATAGTTCTATGCTCAGATGGTTTTTTCAAACCTCTAACATTCCAAGTTGCAATTTTAAACATCATTTATAAATAAGATATACCAAACCTGCACTCAAGCAATTACTCATCAAGATAAATAAAGGTCCGAGGAATGGTTGTCATCCCCGGGGTCCCTAAGTTCCCCATCTTTTAATCTCTCGGCCTGTCTTTTCCTTCGAAGCTTCTCTCTTAGATATTTGATGTTCCTGGCTAGATTTGCATCAAAGAAATTAAGAACATTAGAGATAAAATCATTGTTAGGGAAATCATACCAGTTGTCCTTCTTCTTCACTCCTGGGTAAGAAAGAATGAATGGTGAGTGTGACTTTATTCTGCATTATGACTACATTTGTTTCAGTTCATGAATTTAAAACTTTTTCATGAGTCTTTCAAAATCTAATAGTCTATTGAAGAAAATAATGTATGAAATTATTATTATTGCATGGTTAATAGCTAGCTTGCTTATTCGGTGATAAATTTTTCATATCAAATCCTAGAGTTTCAAAATAGTCTATTGAAGAAAATAGTGGAATATAATTCAATCGAATTAATATGGTGGTTTATTCAGGTTTGTGTGTGTGTATTTTATTTGATCTGTTTTATGTACGTCCAAACGAAAAATATGATCATATTAATGTTATCGATCAAAAAATTCATATTACTATTTTTGTCATTCTTTTCGCGTAGTTATTATTGTTTAATACGGACTAGACAATTCGTGTTAGGTATAGTCATGTTATTATTAAGAGTATAGTTTAGACATTACAAATCAAGCCTAGTAATTAAGACATATTCCGAAAATAAATAACGTACCATTTATTATAAGTATAACAATTGGTTTAATTAACATATAGATAGAAACGGACAAAGACAGAAAAGAAAACGCTTGGAATGACGGGGAAAAGATGGGTGGTGATGGCCGTCGTCCTCATGCTGCTGCGGCCTCAGAAAGGTGCGGCGATTTGGTTTAGTTTACCGGCGACCGGAACAAAGTGCCTGTCAGAGCAAATCTACAGCAGCGCAGTCGTTTTGGGGAACTACTACGCTTTCTCCGATCGAGATGTCCTCCCCGCTCCGGCCATCGCCGTCCAGGTTTTTTACTTTCCGGCCATCTAATTAATTCATATAATATTCTTTTTTTTTATTTCAATAACCATTATTTGGCATGCATATCCGTACGTCAATGTTTTGTGCGCCAATGCCTTTGACTTGAGGTACTATACGTTGGTCGATCTTACGACGACTCATCACGACTCAAAATTGAGGTATTATAGCTACCTCAATTTGTACCTCAACCTATTTTTGTTCCTCACAAAAGTCCAACTCAATAAATGAATTCCCCACTTTAATGAGGTGCTTTTGTGAGCCACAAAAATAGAGTGTGGTACAAAATGAGGTACTAATTGGTGTGGGTACCTTTAGCATTTTTCAAAAATCATCCTATCCGATAAACCCAGGGATGGATTTAAGGGGGGCGACCGCCCCCCTTGAACTTCCAAAATTTTCTAGTATATATGTAATATTTTCATAAATTTTCAAAAGTTAATTAGATATATTTGTGTTCGCCCCCCTTAACTTTTAGTTTTCAAAATTAATATATAACTTTAATTTACATAATGTAATACTTAATTGAAGATTTAAAAGAAAAATTATCTAAAATAATTTACATAACTTAAACAAATGAACAATAGAACAACTCATTATTTAAGGACTTCGGATACTCATTATATAAAAAATCCTAATTTTGTAATGTTTAATTATCTTTATTAGATAATTAGTACTCGATTTTGTAAAAATAATATGAAACAATATTAAATACAAAACACATTAGTTGAACAATTTTTAGATCATGTGAAGTGAATTCAAAATTTAAATATTTGTTGACATTAAATTACACAAATATATATAATAAACTTTCACTTATTTTAGCATTGATACAAATATAATATGCACCATATATATGAATTAGCAATATAATATTATTCTAAAAATAATAATCTCATACATACTATTGTCATATTAAGAAAACTCCTCGGAACTCACAAACAACCTCCTTGCTAGACAAAAATACAATTCCAAAACCAATTCTTTATTCTGATAAGATTCATGTGGTTAAACAACGCAAGAGTTATTTAAAAATTATTTGTTGATGTGTAACTTTTGAACTCTTTACCTTCAAATAATTTGATAAAATTTTATATATCCTTTTTTCTTTCCAAATAATTTTCCTTTGATTTGTCATTTCTTACGTTTTAATGTATCAATACCTTTTTCTGGAGCACTTCAGTTACAAAATCAAAGTTATTTTTTCATTGTCTTTTTTTGAATAAAAAAGAGCCGTAGAAAAATAAAGAAAATTTTTGGCCCCGCTACACTAGCGAAAAAGTTTTCGCCTTGCTGCATTAGCGGAAAATTTTTCACCTCTACACTAATGAAAAACATTTTGCCCCCCTTGACTCAAAATCTTGGATCCGTCCCTGGATATACCAGTATATACCAAACCCTAATAAAAGTAATATTGCTTAGAATTTGTTTTTTGTAACATTGCCTAACTGCACTAAAAGTTCGAAAAATGACAAAACTAAGACCATCAATTTTTTTATTGCGGAAAAGGACTCATATATTAAGATCCAACACCGGAAACTCGTGATGGAATTAAGTGTTATATTAAGATCCGGATTACTCATCTTATCTGGTTAGACCTTTTAGGATGGAATCATGAGTCTTAACTTGGTATCAGAGTCAAATCGATCCATGGTGTGGACTCCCTTTAACGGTTGGTATTGATCGATGTATTTTGATACGTTAACTTTTAAATGAATCAAATTAGTATCATAACTATACATAAATATTTCAATTGAGAATATTATTCAAATTTGTGGCCAAAAAACCCTACATCGGATTAAAATTGCATGGGTTTTACACATAGAATTCCGGTCACCACATATGATTTTTTTGTCAGAAATTTGAAAAAAATTGTGAACTGAAACATTTATGTGCAATTATGGTATTGATTTGATTCATTTAAAAGTTAAGCTATCAAAACGCAACAATATAATACCAATAGTTAAGGTACCATTTATAGTCAGGGGTGGAGACAGGGGGAGGCTGGCGGTGGCCACGGCCCCTGCAAGAAATTGTGATGTATATATACATGTATAAATATTTAGAAGTAGTGAAAAATATAGTGAAAATTTAAGTTTTGGCCCATACTATATAAATTCTTTAAGCCCCGGCCCCTATAACCTGTAAATTCTGGCTCCGCCACAATTTATAGTCCTTCCCTTAAAATTTTGCCAAATTTGACTGGTACGGAAATTAATAAAGTAAAAATTGTGTGATTGAAGTTTGTGCAGAGAAAAGAGAATTAAGTTGAACCACAAATTCTTCAATTAAAGGGAAAATGAAAAGTTAGTAGAACAAGCAAAAATGAAAAGTTAACAAAGTTTTAAGCGACAAATAAATTAAAAGCCGGCTAATGGGTATTCCTGCGTTAAGTTGTACGTCCAAAACGACAAATTATAGGAGTGTTTGGGATTGCTTTAAAAAAGCGCTTTTTAGCTTTTGGCTTTAAAAAAGTTGAAAAGAGTGTTTTCAAATGACAGTTTCTGCTTAAATTAATCACTTAAAAGCTAAAAGTTGGAAGCAGGTAGAAGGGTGCTTTAAAATGGTTCTCACTTTTTCTATTACACAAAAAGTACGGAGTACTTATTTTACCAAACACTACCAACTTTTACTTTTTCAGAATAACTTTTTTTCTCAAACACTATCAATTTTTACTATTAATCATTTTTCTCAAAATCACTTTAAAAAATCACTTTTTTAAAGTTGAAGCAATTGCAAACACTCCCTATATATTATGGGGCATATCATTATTTGTTTATTATTAGAAGTTTAACATTGAATTGGGCGCATGCAGGTGAAATCGCCGGTTGGAAACGTGGTTTATGAGAAGGAGCATGTGAAAGGGAATGTGACAGTGGGCCGGTTTAGCTTCACAACTACTGAGGCCGGAATGCATGTTGCCTGCTTTCGCCTCATTACTGACACTCATGAATTTAACTCGACCGCCGGTTTAACGGTTAGCCTCGACTGGAAAATCGGAATCTTTGCAAAAGATTGGGAATCAGTTGCCAAAGCACACAATATAGAGGTCTGATCACGTACAATCCATATAATCATGAGGCAATTATCTACTACCTCCGTTCCTAAAAATCATTCCCGGTTTGATTAAGAAAGTGAGACAAAGTGAAAATGTATGATTGTGGTTGTGTAAGAAAAAAGCAAAATGAATGTGGGCCACGCAAATTGTACAAAAGAAAAAGTGATAAACATCTTTGGGAACGGCCCAAAAAGGAAAGTAGGAAGTATTTTCATAAACGGCGGGAGTATATACATATACGAAGTATATGTATATATATACACCAAAGTGTATATATATAAAGCGAAATGGTAGAGTAGGAAAAGTTATTCCTTATTTTGAGAATTTAAACTTTATGCTCCTACTCTTCTAATTTTACTTTTACCTTTATTGGATTTTTTAAATAAGAAATATATAGGCTTCAACCACCACCTCAGCCACTTTTTGGCACCGCCACCTCCAATCTTCTAAAAAACAATGCCAACTTGTAGAAAACAAATGTCATCGTAATGAGAGTTTTGAAATCAAGTTTTAACATTTTTGTTATTTATTTATTTAATAATATTTTATTAAGGTTATATTTATTTTTAAATTTTATTTTTTTAAATTTTTTTAATTTTTTTATTTAAGTTTTTTTATAAAAAGAAAATATTTTTGTTTTTTATGTGTTTTTTTATTATAAATAAAAGTATTATTTTGTTATTAATAAAATAAGTTTATTGGTGATTATAGGAAGGGAGTGAGATAGAAATATGAAACATATTTAACTTCTATTTTGGGAATAAAACAAGTATAGATATTTTTATTTTTAACGGAAATTCTACTCTTATTTAAGGCTAATAGCTGTATAATCACTCATGCATGCATAACTTCGTATGTACTACGTACATAAGTATGTTCGTATAATCAAATAAAATTAAATTGAATATTGGTGCATATATGCATGCAGGGCCTCGAGCTTGAGTTGAAAAAGCTGGAAGAAACAGCAAAGGCCATCCGCCAAAATACAATTCATCTTATGATCAAGTATGTATATATGTATGTATGTAGTCGCTGCATGCTACGATATTAAAAAATAGGGAAAATTATTATTAGCCCCTTGAGGTTATGCCATAATTATTAATGCAACCTTACATTTTCAAAAATTAATTAGTTACCCCTTGAGTTTTGATCATTCTCACTATATGCCCCCTCATGTTAATATTTGTTAAATTAAATTTAATATAACTCTTAAATTCACTGAAAATTGTCTATGAAATTAATTTTTAAAGTAAAACACAATTTATTATCATAATTATGAGTCATTGTTTTTTATCGTTATTTTTCTACTTAGCTACTCGTTCGTGGAATAAAGATTGAACAAAGTAGTTAAGGCAGATAACCAATGACACTTCTTTCGTGTGTAACAAAGAACCTAAAAGATTGATCTAGTATTAATAAGAAACCTAAAAGACAAAAATGTATATATATATATATATAGGGCCTGAATAAATGAAATCTATCAATCTAAGACCTAAAATAAATATCATAGATTTTGATTTTTTGATTTTTATTAATTCTATTACTAATTTTGATGATTTCTTCTTCACAAAAAGTTTATTAGTTTTTTTTTAGTTAAAAAAAATCATGATATTTTTATATCTTATTCATGAGTCTTCTCGCTTAATTAACTACTTTCATTATTCCACGATTGAGTAGCTAAGCATAAAAATAACGGTAACCTAAAACAATGACTTATAATTATGATAATAAATTGTAATTTACTTTAAAATTTAATTTATAGATATTTTTTATTGAATTTAAGAGTTATATTAAATTTAATTTAATAAATATAAATGTTTATTAGTTAAATAAGCTTAAGTGATATTTAAAAAAAATCATGATATTTTTATATCTTATTCGTGAATCTTCTCGCTTAATTAACTACTTTCATTATTCCACGATTGAGTAGCTAAGCATAAAAATAACGGTAACCTAAAACAATGACTTATAATTATGATAATAAATTATAATTTACTTTAAAATTTAATTTATAGATATTTTTATTGAATTTAAGAGTTATATTAAATTTAATTTAATAAATATAAACGTGAGGGGGCAAACAATGACTTATAACTAATTGATTTTTGAAAATGCAAGGTTGCATTAATAATTATGGCATAACCTCAGGGGGCTAATAATAATATTCCCTAAAAATAATTAAGAATCAAATTAGTTTAAAAAAATTAAGCATCAATATTAATTAATCTATATACTGCATGCATGAGATATCCTAGCTAATTAATAACGTCATTTATATATTTGCTTTAATTTTTTGGCTTTCAATCATTTCATTATATATCTTCAATTCATCAGAGATCTGAAAATGCAAAGAGTTAGTAAGGCGACAAATAAGAGGGTGGCTTGCTTCAGCTTCATGTCTGTGGGACTCTGCATTCTAGTTTCAGCTCTGCAAGTATGGCACTTGAAGACATTTTTCAGAAATAAGAAGCTTATTTAATTACCTAGCTAGTAAGCTAGCTAGCTACCTTTACTTTTCAAAACATATATCAGTCCAGCCCACTGACATTTAATTAATGTCTTTCTTCAAATTCACACCTACATGAACACCAGGGGCGGAGCTAGAGGGGTGGCCAACCGGGCCACGGCCCGCCCCAAATTTGAAAATTCTTTGTATTTTTAATCTAAAAATTTATGTAAAAAGAAATTATTTAAAAAATTCTTTGTACCGGCCCAGCCCAACCTTCAATCCTAGCTACGCCCCTGATGAACACACGTTCTCTACCTCTCTTAGCTCTACCTACCTAGCTTCAAGTATACAATACATGCAATTATATTATATTAAAATGTATGGGTACAATCGTATAAACAATTAACATTAGGGTTAAAAGTTGTTTGTGTGGACAATTAAAAATGTTACACATAGACAACTAATATTTGTGCACACAGACATTGGTTTGCATGTAACAATAATGATTGGTGACTTGGTGTACTTTTTTGTAGAAGTGTCTATACATACACATTTTTTATTTGTGTACACAGACATTTGTTTCGGTGCAATATAACTCTTACTTTTCATAACAGTTTTGTTTGTGTACACCAAAATTTAAAAAAAAACCAATGTCTATATACATACATTTTATCTATGATGAAATTTTATAAAAGGTTACTAGTTTTTCAGTTTCATCCTTCGTTAGATATAACACACACACACATACACACACACATATTTTCAAACCCCAGTGTATGTGTGTGTATCATTATTCAGCACGATACAGACAATATTTATATATTACACTAACGAAAATTGTGGCGGCTCTATTTTCCGGTGAATTTCTAGTTATTCTCGAATGTCATTTTTTCCGGTGCATTGACAAAGTAAAGGTGAAGATGGAGTATGAATAAAAGGTCAATAGAGAGAAGGAAATGAGACGGAGAAGGAGAAGGAGATGGAGATTGGGATGAGGATGGGGATCGAGATGGAGAAGGGAGGGAGGGAGGGAGGGAGGGAGGGAGGGAGGGAGGGAGGGAGGGAGGGAGGGAGGGAGGGAGGGAGGGAGGGAGGGAGGGAGGGAGAGAGAGAGAGAGAGAGAGAGAGAGAGAGAGAGAGAGAGAGAGAGAGAGAGAGAGAGAGAGAGCTCAAGTTCATCTTTTCTGCTTTCAGTTTTATTTTGAGACTAGTAGTAATACTTTCTTTTTTGTTGGATTTGGACTTTTTAGTCCGAGCTCTGTGTTGTTTTTTATTTGGATTTTTAGTTGGAGCACCCATTTGGTAGGTGTTATGTGGGGCAATCTTTCTCTATTGGTCACAATAGGCTTCAAGTTGTCCGTTGATTGTTTAGTGAACTGTTGTGTTTTTAACATTTACAATTCAGTCTAATCTTAGGACTGACAAACAATATGGGAGGGTTTGTGTTTTTGCTATTATGTGAATTTCTACTACATTATAAGCTTTATTTGTTAAAAAAAAGACCAATATACGATTGTAGAAGTGTTTTTTATTTACCCTTTTCTTCCTTTTTTGTACTAATAAATAGTAATATAAATACGTCCCTAATCCCAAAACATTGTTGGCACTTTCATTTTCAAAATTGACTCAAGATATAATGTGTAATTAAAATTGTTGAGATATATTATCCTGGTCCATTACTGTTCAGGAGCTCAAGACTTTACGTGGTACGGAACCCGATCAGTGAGGCCCGTTTTAGCCTATTAAGCCTGTTTCGGCCTTTGGGCCCATTTCGGCCCACTTGGCCCATTAGGGTAGGTTCCCCCTACTCTCTGTCCCCTATAAATATGGGGTTTTCCACATGTTAGGGATCCTTTTCCATCTTCCTTTAGCTCTCTAGATTAGATAATACTCCATTAATGGGAGCTTCAAGCTTGTACGAAATATAATGTAATGGTGAGGAGAGCCTAATGAGAATGAGAGGGCCTGGACATTAGCCTAAAAAGTCCCGTGATTTTCTCCCTTTCGGGTTTCCATATAAAAACTGAGCTTGTTCATACACATTTATATATATATATATATATATATATATATATATATATATATATATATATATATATATATATATATATATTTACAATATCGTGTTGGATTAAACTCAACACTGGTGCCGTCTGTGGGAATCAGTTCAAAAAGATTACATGTGTTCTTCATTTTTTCTGCAAAAAAAAATTGAGGCGACGAACTGATTTCTTACAAAAATTCATACGAAAAGCTACTGGTTTTAAGAAGAAGAAAAAGAAAAAATGTATTCTGGAAGATCTGGGTTCTTGGAGTTTACGGTTATGGAATGGGGCCGTCGGGACCGCCATCACCGTCCCTGACCGCCGTGGACCCTCCATTGTGTTCACCATGTTAGCTATATATTTATATATATTTATATTTTGTAAACTTGTTTAGTTAGTTTAAGTTATTTACGTTTGTTTTGTCTAGTTAATATGTAAGTTAGCTTGTAAATAGGTCAAAGAAGGTTGAAGTACGTGTGCTTGTACTGAACAGTTAGTTTTGATCATGTGGGAGGTTTTTTAGCCCACTCGGTGTAACCACCATATCCCACTCTTTAAAGAGAAAGCATGTAAGGGAATGGAGTTGCAACGAGAAGGTTTTTCCTCCAAGAAAATGAAAAAGAGTTTATGATTATCCTCATGATTGTGATCATCTTTCTCATGCATTTCATACTTAATCATTACATCATGTTCTAGACTTATCAACTTGCGTTTGATAAGTGCAGTTGTACGTGGTCAAATCCTACATTTGGTATCAGAGCATTAGGTTAAGGAGATCCAATTTACATGGCCTCGAGTTCGTCATCCTCTGCAAGTGAAGGGGTAGGAGAAAACACCTTTACTCATGAAGAAGAAACTGTGAAGTCCCAAGTCAAGGAGGGAACTGTCACACTTAAATATCATATGCTTACTAGAAGCAATTATGCAGCTTGGGCCATCAAAATGGAGGTGTTCATGATGGCCCAAGGAGTGTGGGAAGCAGTGGAGTCCAAAGAACCAGTAGAAAGGAGAAAGGACAAACTGGCATTGGCTGCTATCTACCAAGGCATAACTGAGGATACTCTTCTGCAGTTGGTAGAAAAGAGAACGGCTAAAGAGGTATGGAACATGCTGAAAACTATGAATGAAGGAGCAGAAAAAGTTAAGGAGGTTAGAACTCAAACACTATGGAGAGAGTTTGAAGCATTAAAAATGAGTGACAAAGATAGTGTGGATGAGTTCTCAGGAAAGATTCAAACTATTGTTAGCAAGTTGAGAGGGCTTGTAACATAGTTTAAGAAGAACAAGTGGTAAAGAAACTGTTGAGAGCAACCTCACCAAAATTCCTGCAAATTGCCTCTACAATAGAGGAATTCTGTGACCTTAAGGTTAAGACAACAGAACAAGTCATTGGTTCACTCAAGGCTCATGAGGAGAGGCTGAAAGGACAAGATCCTGAAAAATGAAGAAACTGTTCTCTTAACCAGGGCTGAATGGAAGGCAAGAGGAATCAAAATCACAACATACTGTGGCTAGAGATCAGAACAATCCTAGAGGAAGGGGTAGAGGTCGTGGCAGAGGAAGAGGTCGTGGAAGAACACAAATGCATGAGGAGGAACCACAACCAAAGAAGAAGTTTGAAAATCAAAGATCAAGTGCTATAACTGTGGCAAAATGGGACATTTTGCATCAGAATGTCTCTTAAATGACCAAGAGGAGGAAGCAAAACTGATTGAAAAGGAAGATGATGAAGAGCAGCCTGCATTAATGATGATAGAAACGTGTGAGTTGACAAAATCCCATGAGATGTGTGAGAAGGAAGAAAATCAAGGTGCAGGTGGTGGAATTTGTGTTGAATCATGGTGGTATTTGGATACTGGGGCCACCAACCACATGACAGGTACTAAAACCCATTTCATTGAACTAGATTCAACCATACATGGTAGGGTGAGATTTGGAGACAATTCTATGGTTGATATACATGGGCTAGGATCAGTGTTACTTCAATGTAAAACAGGAGAGCACATGATTCTATCTAATGTATATTACATTCCAAAGCTGAGAAGTAATATAATTAGTTTAGGGCAGTTAGATGAATCAGGTGATCAAGTGGTGCTGAAAAATGGAGTCCTGAGTATATTTGATAAACACAGTAGACTCATAATCCGGGTTGATAAAAAGAAGAATAAACTGTTCATGGTCAATTTGAGAATTGCCCAGAAAACTTGTTTGATGGCCAGTATTGAGACTAAGGAGTGGCTTTGGCATGCTAGATATGGTCACTTGAACTTTTAGGCTTTGAATAAACTGACAAGCAAAGGGATGGTGGAAGGAATGCCCAGGATAGATCATGTAAATCAAGTCTGTGATGGCTGCATGGTTGGAAAGCAACACAGGATCCCATTTCCACAAAAGGCTTCCTATAGAGCACAAAATAAGTTGGAGTTGGTGCATGGAGACCTTTGTGGACCTATCAAACCAGCTACACCTGGAGGAAAGAACTACTTCTTACTCTTAGTAGATGATTTCTCAAGGTTTATGTGGATCACACTGCTAAGAGATAAGGGTGAAGCATTTGAATCTTTTAAAAGAATCAAATGTAAGATAGAGGCAGATGGAGGAACTAAGCTCAAGTGCTTGAGAACTGACAGAGGAGGGGAGTTCACTTCCCATGAATTCTTGACCTATTGCCAGGAGAAGGGGCTAAGAAGACAGTTAACTGCACCATATTCACCCCAGCAGAATGGTGTGGTGGAAAGGAGAAACCAAACAATTATGGAGATGACAAGAAGTATGATGAAGAGTAAACTAATACCCTCAAAGTATTGGGGGGAAGTAGTCACCACAGCAGTCTATATTCTGAATAGAGCTCCAACCAAAAGTCTTGATGGAAAAACACCCTATCAAGCATGGTATGATAAAATACCCAATGTGAAGCATTTCAGGGTGTTTGGATGCATAGCACATATCAAGTTGGTGAAACCACATTTACAAAAACTTGAGGACAGAAGTGTAAAGGGGATCCTATTAGGGTATGAAGAAGGAACTAAAGCATATAGGTTGCTGGATCCAGTGAGAGACAAAATATTTGTGAGTAGAGATGTGAAGTTTGAAGAAGGAAATGGATGGGAGTGGAAGAGCAATCTTGAAAATGATCAGGAAGGTGAAGAAGATGGGGACATATTTGCAGCCTGTGTGCCCAAGGATAGACAAGGAACAAGAAGAAGAAGAACTCCTATACCAAACTTGACAGAAGAAGAGGGTGAGACTACTGAACATTCATCAGATACCACACCTCAGGATAGTAACTCAAGTTCAAGTGATGCACCAAAACATTTCAGGTCACTTCAA